CCGCCGAGGCCGCGGGCGGCGCGCTCGCGGGCGGCAACGGCGGTGCTGACGTGGCGGCTGCGCCGCTGTCCCCGCGCTCCCTGGGCAGCGCGGCGGCGAGGCTGGCGCCCCTGGCCGTGGCCGCGGGGGTTGCCGCCAAGATGAGCCCCGGCAACAGCAAGGCGCCGTCGCCGACCCCGCCGCCGTGCGCGGAGGGCGGCAACGGCGCCGCGTCCCCCGGGCCCCTGGGCGCGGAGGGAGCAGCCGGCGTCGCTCTCTTGACCGGCGACGTCTTGGAGAGGGCCGCGGCCGCGCTCGCGGGCGGCGGCGAGGGCGGCGACGGCGACGATGCTGACGAGGACGCCTCCCCGGACGCCGGCATGTTGGGGCTGGGGGCGACGGCGGGCGCCGCCGCCGCCGCTTCCAAAGGCGCGGGCGCGGCCGAGCGCGACATGGAGGGCGTCGTGGCGCTCCCCGTGTCGGCGGCCGCAGCCACGGCCGCCGCCGCGGCCGCTGCGGCGCCGCGGGGGCGCGGGGGCGCCAGCCGCGGCGGCAACCCTTTCCTGGTCGATCCGGCGGCGGCCGCGCAGGGCGACGCGGGTGACGGGGCGGGTGAGGACGGGGCCATGTACCAGGGCATGAAGATCGTGGTGCGGCCCCCGCGGGGCGACAAGAAGTGATCGATGACCTTGGTATGCGGGCTAGCCTGCTTTGACAGCGCTTATTCAGGGGCGGGGGGTCTTGACAGTAGCGACCGCTTTGCCCAGGCGTGCCTCCGACGGCTCGCCGCCTGCCCGCCGCTGCCGTTGGCTGCGCCACAGCGCCAGGCCTGGTGGCCGCCGCGCGCCGTCGCACGCATCCACCTGCGGCGTCCTAGATTTGGTGAATTCTTCTCGCAAGCTTGTGGTTTCAGCCCTTTGAGGCTGACCGCCCCTGCTGCAGACCATGACAGCCGAGACGAAGGGGGATCGCGGGTTGCCCTGCCTTCCCCCATTGACCAGTGACCTTGACCACGCCCAGCCGCGCCGCGGCACTCTATGAAACTTGGCTTTATTACACAGACACCGCAGGTCTCAGACACCCCCTGCGGCCCGACTGGACTCGTGTCGGTTGCAACCCTCCACCTTACCATACCCTTTAGAAGCCCGCTGCCGTGGCCGCTGACGGAATCGCTGTCCCTTTGCCCAGCCTTCGGGGAGCCAGGGTTTCTCCCCTCGCTGCTGGAAAAGCGTGATGCAATGTTTGGGCCTCCCGCCTGCGCCTGCGCCGCTGCCCAGCCCAGGCGGGCGGTGCCCAACCGTGTAAGCGCTGCACCTCAACAGCATGACACCCCAGAGATGTGGTGGCTCGTGTGGCACACGATCCAAGTTCCCCCGGGCCCACGCTTTTTTGACTGCCCACGTGCCTGGATATTGCGCACTCTGCGGGTCCGCGCCGCAACCCATCGGCGTCCGCCCCCCCGCTTGAAGCGGCAGACAGGCGCGTGACGCCGCACAGAGCTGCCCGCGCCGGCGGCCGCTGCGCGGGGCGCGGCGGGCGGGACCGGGAGTGCAGCGCGTGGCTGTCGTCTTCGCGCGGCGACGCAGCGTGCGTCACACGCTTCGCCTGACAGCCTGCGGAGCAGACGGCGGGCATGCTCGCCACAGTCTTTCATCTCGGACCTGCTCTGGCACAGCTCACATCCCCGTGATCCTGGGTGGCTCGAGGGGAACACTAGCAATACGAAATGTGTAACATGCTACCCCCTGGTTGCTGCCCCCCCCCTCCTGACAAAGCAGCCTGCGCTCATCGCGGCCGTTCCAGCAGGCCAGCCGGGGACTACTACTTGGCAATGTCTGGGTATCGCCGTTACAGCGCACAGGCTACCAAGGCCGCCCGCGCGGCCGGCCGCCATGACGGACCACGCGCGCACGTGCTGGGCCCAGTCACTCGTCGCTGCTCTCCTCCTCGTCCTCGTCCTCGTCAGCTGTCCGCAGCCACTCCAGGAACGGCGCAGCCTAAGCGAGGGAGAGGGGGGAGGGGGGGGCGCCGTAGTGCACAGGATGAGGGGTTGAGGCAGGTCGAGCGGGCGGCGCAGGGTGCGCCTGCATCGGGAGTGGGGCAGTGGTGGGTCAATGCCATCCTGCTGCGATCCGACCTGGCCCCAACGGCTGCAGAAAGAGACACTCAGTCCCAGACGGCGGTGCCATGGGCGCTGCATGAGCCTGCAGGGGTGCGTGCCTGCCGCCCGGGCACCTCTACCACCCAACCCTCACTTATCTTGGGAAAGGAGGCTGGCCTGCGGCTGTGACCGTTCCCAGCTGTCGACTGGCGCACGGCCCCCTGCTGCGCGATGGCCCCTGCAGCCCCAACACACTGACCTTTCGCCCGCCTCCCCCCTTCAAGTATTCACAACAATGTCCCACCAATTCCACCCATCCCATGCC